TTGATTTATTTTGAACTGCAAAAAAGCATATGACACCACTGTGAAAGTTTAATGTTATATCGCTATGAAGCTAATTCTTAAATTCTTTTGTTGTTGTTGTTGTTTTTGCCACTAATCAAAATAAATTCTCTCTTCCGTTGCCAGTCAAAACTTAGTCTTTTTCTGGTTTTCATCCGTTTTTTCCCCTTTTTATTTTTATAAATTAAGATATTGGTTTTGAAGACCTCCCAAAATTTTTTGAAATCTACTGGAAACATTTGATGAAGCATTCAAACTGATCCTGTCAATTTTTTGATTATGAAACCAGCAAAGAAAAAAAAAGCAAAAAAAAAACAGACCTTCCAGAGAAAAAAAAGTTGGAAAAAGATTTGTAAACCAAAATCGCACTAATAATATTATTTCAAAAAAAAAATTTAGCAACCTGCAATCGCTGAGGGATCTGAATGTGTTTTTCGAACATTTCTGTTGACAATCCTGACATCAGCCTGACACCTTTTTCTGTTGAAGAAACATCGTATTTTGAGGGGAAAAAAATGTGCTTGATCAAGTCCATATAACAAAATGAACACCACCAAAACGATTTCCAGAAATGTCGTTGATGTTGGATTGGTGTTAGACAACCGTAATGCTTCGTGACTTTGTTGCAGCTTTTGCAGCTGGAGAACAGATGTCCAAAGTTACAAGTTTAGTAGCCTCATAAATGACTAACCAGAGAAATTAAAGTTTATAAAAAATATTTCTTAAAACTCATATTCCTGTCTCCTGATGTTCAACTACACTTTTTTTTCTAGGCTAAAAATTTTAAAAAACTGCTAAATGCTTCCTATTGTTAACCTACCAAAAAAAAGTTAAGGTATAGTTTACTGATTTATTTGTTTATCAAATTGAAAAGAATATCGATAAATTTTACATCAAGCATCTTTAATGAGATATAAAAATAAATGTCGCAACTTTTTAACAAATTTAAGGATCCTCTTTTCCAGTGGTAAACCTAAACTAAGCCAGAGATTAAGTGCTGTTAATTATATTGTCATTCAAATCTGCTAACTCCTACTCCCGCACACCAACAATACATACAGTATACACAACGTTTCTTATGGTCTTTTAAAAGTAACACTTTTGTTACAGCTTTCTGGAAACTAATTTCAAATTTATTTTTTAATATATGGCAATAAAAATAATCATATTAATTTTCCTCTTTTGCTTCTCCTTCCATCAAAATATGTTTCATGCCTTGTCTTAATAAAAAGGTGAGAAATTTAGCATAAAACAGTGATGGATAGAATACAACAGAGCTGCCATTAGGAAAAGCTTATATAGCAGTGTAAAATCGATAGTAACAAACGTTACGATGTTGTTTATTAACTAGAGGTTTTCTGTCTGATAACAGCTGTTCATTGTGAAAACCACATTTTTACCAGTTATACATATCTTGTTGAAACTGAAATTAAATGATTAAATCAAATGAAGGAAGGGCTCAACAAATCTGTACTGTTCAATAACTGTAGCTATACAGAGATTTTCTACTCATAGCAATTAAGCATTTTAATAAATTTGATGACTACAAATTTTTCAATATTTTGATGTTCGAAATGACCAATATTGCAACAAATACGATCAGCAAAACCACCGCCTTACTCCCCCACCCGTTCACTGCCCTTACCTCTAACTTCCACAAAATTCCATAGTTGCTGCCTGTGTTGGCGATCATCCAGGCAAATTGCCAATTTTAGCTGGCAACCGATTAATTAACACGAGCCTCAACCGGCAATTATTCTCGGTGACAGTCCAAGCATCCGTCCAAGTGAAAGGCTGAAAAAATAAGTTCCGCTAATGTGTCATCATCATTTATGTTCATGATTAAAATACTGGGAGCCTGTGATTATTGTGTTATGTGTTACAAGCATGTAATGGAGTTTCGTTGATAATCATTCAGAAGATACGCTGTGATATTGATTTTGAAATGTGGATGGTACTAAGACGAGGCATACACTAAGGTCTTTTTATCTTCTAGCAAAATACCTTCACAATAATATGGATGGCATACTGTGTTAATGGCATCACTTTCCGCACTTTAGCAGTTTGGCAAGCAGGTCCTATAAAGATATTACTTGTAAATCTTAATAGGCCTTTGACTTTCATACAGCCTCGTTGAAATGAGATGCCATAAGGTAGCTCCAATTGTCGCGAATAATCTTACAGTGAGGCAGACTTTCGTATGACAGGGCATCCTTTTTGTTCCAGTTTCATTTATGTAGTGGAAGTAAAGGACGCAGTTTCGCTCTTTATTTTTTAGTGTGACTTTTGTATGTGGGCGTTAACCGAGTAACATTCGTTGTGTGCTTTAATACGGTAGTGAATAGTAATGGGTTATTTCATTTTTTTTTTCTTACAACCTTGTTGACTAATCTTAAACATCAACATACTATTTAATGTAGCAAACAGATATTTATTTTTCTGTCGGAACAATTGAAATATTGTTAGCCAATTGACTTGGTAAAATCAAATTTTTCTAGTGCCGTTCAACATATTTTCCAGGAAGTCGGGTTGGAAAGAAGGAATTGGATGCTTTTAGCAGTTAAACGAAAGTACGCCTTGAATTTCTTCTAATCCACCTAAATTTATGGCAGATCCGGTTTTATTGCAGTCAGAACCGGGAGAGTCCAGTAATAGAAACGTGCAGCAAAACTGTCCGTCGTTGTTTTATAAAGCCGCAGAATTCAAAAATGAGCGAGCTACATATGAACGGGTGGAAAAGTTCATATCAAGAAATCACTTTACCGACTGTAATTTGTACGGAAGATTATATGACCAGTGCTTGCCTGTGACAGTAAAACATTTATTTTTTGGCGAAGAGAAGGTTCCTTTTTCCGTGGCTTTGGAGCAGTTGTCATCGCAGGGTTCCACTTTTCTCGGTTTATTGTCAGAAAGTTACAACTTTAGACGTGAACTAACTGAGCAACGTTGCTAACTGAGCTTCTTTACTAAAGTTTTTAGTTGCGGCAGTGTGCCTCCACTTTTTTGCTTGTTTTGTAGGTGACTTAGTCGTGCCAGGATTTTCGTTTGGGCCCACTTGGACACAGCACTGGTTCCAAATAGATTTCAAAGTTCCGAAGAGTTGGGAAGGTAAAGAAGTTGTCCTGCGTTTTAATGCAGAATGTGAAGCACTGGTGTGGGATGTCCATGGTCGACCTCTAGTTGGTTAGCTTATTAGACTGCCTTATTCTTTTTGAAGTGCCAGTTTAAGTTTATCTCACATGTATCTCACGTGTTAATGGGATTAAGAGATTAACAGTCGAATTTATTATTATAAACAATATACAATTGTTTTGCAATTTTTTTGGTTGCTGAAGGAATTGGTTTTAAATTCATTTTCATTGTACAGTTAGGTCTTCTTGTAACTGTTTATGGTTCCAGTAAAATGACTTTGGTTTAGGTCTTTCTTCTGATGTCGAACGTACAGACGTGAAAGTACCATCAGATTCTTCTGTGTCACAGTATTACGTAGAAGCAGTAGCGTGCAGCAGAAATGGTGACGGTGAGAATGGGCTAATAAATCCCGTCAAGTTAGATAAAACATTCAAAGTATGCTTATTTTAGCATTAAAAAGTTGTTAACTGATGAACTACTTTGCTAGTTTTAAGTTACAAATGGCGCAAATTAGTGTGCGGAATAAACTTGCGTACGAACTTTTTATGGATTTTGAAATTTTGCTGCAAATGGCCAACTTATTATCCAAGGAAAATGGCCGGCGCTATGAGGCCTTGTATTTAGCTAACGACATTGTAAGTTACATTTTTTTTTTTTTGTTCAAGGACTTTCTTAACATCAAGTCGTTTTTCTTTCTAGCTACTTTTAAAAATTAAAATCAATAAAAATATGACCTTTTTTGGATTTCATTTTTATTTTCATTTGTTCTTAAAATTTTGATTTCATCTTCAATTTGTTTTTAATATAGATAAACCACTTGGTCATGGCAGATTTCGCAGATGACGTCTTGTTACAAAGCCACAGAAGAGCCAACACTTTTTTTTCTCAACCGAATCCCAGAAGTCAGCTGACGTTGTATGTTGTAGGAAACTGCCATATTGATACCGCTTGGCTTTGGAGGTAATCATTTTGTTTAATAACTGTATTCTGGGTTGGGCAAATAAATCTGTCTTTTTTTATTTATGAGACATCTACCGAAAACCAGTCGAAATTTTTTGTTTGTTCTTACTTTTCAGGTACCGAGAAACGAGGCAGAAGTGTGCGAGAAGTTGGGCGAGTGCTGTAAATCTGATGAAAGAGTACAGCGAAATGACGTTTGCCGTGTCTCAAGCGCAGCAAGTTTGTTTTCATATAGTTCTACAAGTTCCTTTTTTTATTGCAGACTTGCTAATTCCAAAACTAAATTTTGAATGTAATTCTTTATATGGAAGGTTTGTTTTTCTAGCCGGTTAGGAAATTTTATTTTGTTTTTTTCTCTTGTAGCTTCTGTGGACGAAAGAGGATTATCCTTTATTATTTGAAGAAATGCAAGATTTGTCTGGAGAAGGAAGGCTATCAGGGGTTGGGGGCGCTTGGGTCGAATTTGACGGTAATTTACCAAACGGAGAGAGCATGATACGACAGTTACTTTATGGTCAGCAAGAATTTTACAACCTATTTGGAAAGTTAGTTTTTTGTGAGTTTTTTGTCTAGATTTGAATTTACGTTCTTCATTCATGTTATGGAATTTAGGTACTCACGGATCTTTTGGCTGCCGGACACTTTTGGTTACACGGCGCAACTTCCCCAGATAATGAAGCATTGCGGCATGGATTATTTTTTGACTCAGAAAATGAGCTGGTCATTAGTAAACAAATTTCCTCACCACTCATTCCTCTGGTATGGTCTAGATGGCTCTAAAGTTCTTGCGCATTTTCCCCCTCATCACTACGTTGCACAAGTACGGTAATAATGTCATTTTGAGATGTATCAGTTTCATTTGGAACCTGTTAATTATTAGGTGACAGTAAAAGAGTGCCTTGAATCTGCATGTAACTTTACTGACCGTGGCAGATCAGGCGTAGCTTTAATGTTATATGGACATGGTGATGGAGGAGGAGGCCCTGATCAGAATATGCTTGAAAGGATTAAAAGACTGGTAGATTGTGACGGTGTACCTCGTGTTATTCATGGGACGCCGGAAGATTTCTTTACAAGAGTAATTTTTTCAGTTTATTTAGGTTAACCAATCAGTTCCATTTTTTT